GGCGCCCGGGGCCGCCCCTCCCCCCCTTACCACGTCCGAGGGCTGCCCGGCCCCTCCCCCCGCCGCAAGTGCCGCTGGGTAGCACCCACCCCGTGGGGACGGTGACGTCAGGTTTTATTTGCGTAGCCCCTCCCCCTTCGCTCGCGGCGGGGGAGGGAGGGAGGCGTGAGCGCGGGCGGGGTACTGGGAGGCACTGGAGGGTACTGGGAGTGGCCAGGGGGCCCTATAGCGCTTGTGGGAGGGTCTATAGGCTCTGTAGGAGCGGGGAGGGGCTGCATAGACCCTATAGTACTTGTAGGGTGTCCCTATGGACCCTATAGCACTTGCAGGGTGACCCTATAGACCCTCTAGGAGTGGGGAGGGGCTGCACAGACCCTATAGCACTTGTAGGGTGGCCATATAGACTCAATAACCATTATCACGGTGTCACCTTGGGACACGGTGATGTCCCTGTGATGCTGAATGGTTGGTGGCCACCATCCTGGTGTCACCTTGGGATGTGGCCTCATCTCTCTGATGCCAAATGGCTCATGGCCACCATCCCGGTGTGACCCCCAGGCCCTTGCAGATGCTGCCATGTCCTGCCCCACCCCCTGAGTGCTTGACCCCATCCCATCACCCGAATCCTGTCCCCAAACCCACCCCATGATACCCCATGTCACTCCAAGGGATTCGTCTTGCCAACAGTCCCCAGCACCTCCATGTCTTCTTCAAGAAGCCTCTTCTCCACCATGTGCGGGTCAACCACAAAGGGCCATGTGGACCCAGGTGATGCCGGTCAGAGGGTGGGACAAGACGTTGGCCAATGGCCATGGGTCAATGGAGGAAGACCCCCAAAAGCCTCTTCTCCACCCCAGGTGGGTCAGCCATGGTTCCTCAATGCTGATTGAAGGCTGGGGTGGGACGCTGGGCAATGGCTGTGCGTCACCAGGGGCGTTTGGGGGTGACAAGGCAGACGGTTGAGAAACCCCTGTGGGAGGATGGAGTCAGATGTTGGCGGGTGGCTGTGACTCACCTCCAAAGCAGCGTCTGGTGACAGCCTTGTCCCCATCCATCAGTGACCCTCGGTGGACCAGAGGGCTGGAGAGGTCTCTGGGGGTGCACCATGGTGGGGGGCTGCTGGCTGGGGTCTGTGGGGAGGTGGAGGAAGGGATGGATTGATGGATGGATGGATGGATGGATGGATGGATGGATGGATGGATGAAGGGAGATGTGGAGATGTTTTGGGGTGGGTGGGTGGATGTATAGATGGAGATGTTGGGGATGGATGGATGGAGACGTTTGAGGATGGATGGATGGAGATGTTTAGGGATGGAAGGATAGATGGATGGATGGATGGATGGATATGTTTTGGGGTTGATGGATGGATGGAGATTTTGGGGATGGATAGAGATGTTTGGCTATGTCTGGGGACTGACAGATGGATAGAGAAGTTTGGAGATGGATGGATGGATGGGCGGACACCTCCGCCTGCCTCATTGCACCCTGCCTCCACCCCCATGGTAGGGGGAAGCACCGTCACCGCAGGAAGGAGGTTGCGGCGGCCCAGATGGCGACTCCTTCTGGGGTGGAGGATGGTCTCACATCCCCATCAGGGACAGGGATGGGAAGTTGACATCACCTCGAGGTCACCGCTGTTGTGCAAGGGGCCGGCGGCAGCTGGTGGGGTTGTGAAAGTGGACGGGGAGGGGGGACCCCCAGCCAGCCGCACCCCAGCACTGGGTAACCCCCACCCTGTGGCTGTACCCCATCCAGTTGTGCACCGTCTGGCTGTACCCCATCCACCTGTATGCACTGCGTGGCTGTACCCCATCCAGTTGCTGTGCACCGTCTGGCTGTACCCCATCCACCTGTGTGCACTGCGTGGCTGTACCCCACCCAGCTGTGCACCATCTGGCTGTACCCCTCCAGCTCTGTGCACCATCCAGCCGTACCCCATCCAGCTGTGTGCTGTGCAGCTGTACCCCATCCAGCTGTGTGTGCCGTGTGGCTGTACCCCAGCCATCTTTCCTCTCCCATCCTTTCTCCTCCTTTGCCCTTTTCTCCCCCATTTCATGATCTCTCTCTTTCCCCCCCATTTTTATCTTTTTCCTCCCAAATTCCTGGCCCGCTCCCCACTCCCCGCCCCACACCCCTTCCTTCCCCTCCCAC